GGGCAAGAATCACATGATATTCAGAAAGACATTGGCATCTTTAAGTCAGTCGGGATAAAAACAAAATCTTGAAAACCCTATGAATAAAATCCCAGGCAGAGAATTTAGGGAGTCAATTAAAACAGATTATCCTGGAATAGCTTTCTTCCCATGGCCTCCATATCTGGCTTGTGTTGCCTCTTCCCACATACATTTAATTTCTCCTCACAATCTCTCACAAGACCCCTAATGAGTCCTGGAAGATGTAATACATGCCTGGATGCATATGTTGACCTTAATAGGTTCGGACTGTGCAGTCTACCTGGCTTTTATTAGGCCAACACATCTTGTTCACTGATGAAGCCAAATTCAGTTATGGAAATAAGTCGGGCAGATTTAGTATCAGAGTGGTGAAACTTCTGAGAATTACTGTACTGTAGTATTCTGATCTGAAATACTGCCTTTACCACAAAGAAAATAATGCAGGTAGTCCTTGTGAGAAAATAACAATTAAATCAAGTTGCAGGGAACAAAATAGGAGCAGGATGTAGGAAGTTAGCACCCACCCCTCTCCTAGAAAAATGATATATTTTAGGAGATATTAAAAGGGCAGAATATTTCCCCTAAAAGGGAGGCAGAAACTCAGACACCCCCCCCCCTTTGTCAATGGGCCATTAAGGCCTGGGCCAGTCTATTCTACATAACGAAGATTTACCTCCTTCAGGCAGAGCGATAATAGGAATCCCAAAGCCCTTTCATTAGATCATCACCCAGCAAGGCTCAACCAAGCTTGGGACTCAAAAACACAACCTACAAAGTTACCCCTGAATGGCCCCATGGGAGTCTGACAACCAATCAGAATACAAGCTCAAATACAAGCGAGGGGGGTGGGTAGAAAACTCAGGCACTCTCAGCATCTCTTCCCTTTTTTCCTTCACCCAAGATTTTCAAGGCATGTGATCCTGTCCACCATTAAAACCATCTTTTCAAGCAGCCACCATGTTTCCAGTGTCTTCTTTCCCCACATGGAACTGAACCCAGAAGGAAATTTCTTCCAACAAGGACTATGCAAACATGAATGGGACTGCCAAGCATTTAAATGCAGCTACAGTATAAATCATAAGTGAGACTAGGCTGCAACAATGCTGACACTCATTGCCTTCACAATGCATGCATGATTTAAACGTAGCAAGATTCTGGCACATGCTTTTTCCTGCTACAGATTGGCTTAGCTCCATTTTGAAAAAGGTAGGAAGCCAAATATTGCTAACTGAACACGTTTACATTTATTTTGGGAGATTATGTTCAGGGCATTAAATATAATCTTGAAAAAAAAATCATTTTGAAACTTGGGAGAGATACACATGATGAATTCAAATTAAGGCTGTTCAGGCCCATTGTCTTTGACAGAATATTGCATCATTAACCAGCAGGAAATTTGCAAAGGGAGTTGTCGGTTTGGGAAGGGAATTACCATCACCAAGATGAGTGAATTAGAAACAAACAACAACATAAAAACTGTTGGCAGGCCTCTGAAACTGAAGAAATTTTATTACTGCCACGTGAAATCTTATGCAATACTATCCCAATATTCATATGAAAATATTTTAGGTTATGTTCAAGCATGGGCATAAATACTATAGCCCAGTGATGGTTAATCTTTTTGGTGCCGAGTGCCCAAAGTGTGCATGCGAATGCACCAGTAGTGGGTTTCAATTTTCTTCGCTACCGGTCCGCTGTGTTTTTGATGACATCCGGGAGGGTGGGTGGAGCTTCATAATGAGTCCCCCCTGCGCATGTGCAGCAGAGACCCGAAGACCAGCTGGCTGGCGGGAGGTGTGCGCGCATGCACGGTGGAGTTGGGCTGGGGCAATGGCTGGCGTGCCCGCAGAGAAGGCTCTGCATGCCACCTGTGGCACGCGTGCCATAGGTTCACTATCACGACTGTAGCCTAAATCCTGTGTGATAAGATTGTCACAGCCCCGCACAATCCCAAGATAATTTAAAAACACTCAAAGACTTAATGAACATGGAGATCCTCCTTTGCAATTTATCTGCTTGCTTCAAATACCTACCAGGTATGCTGCAATTTACTTTTGAAACTCCCCAGTGTTAAAGATACCATTGAGATGAAGGCTCCTCACCCCCACCCAAAAATCATGAACATTTAGACCAGAATGTCTACTTACCACGGCAGTAACAAAAGTTCTGTCAGCTGGCTGTTGAAGTCCACATTTTAAGTTGCCAAGGTTGAGAGACACTGGTCTAGATAGCAGAGACATTTGGGCAGTTCTTTTGACTAATTGCAACTGGTTTTTTTGTTGGGGCAAAAAATTGAATACGTTCTTTGTTGGGGGTAGAGGAAGGTAGAAGTTAACAGGGAAAAAATGAACGTAAAACTTGTATTTTCATGCTTGTGAAATATATATTCGCATATACCTTTTATTCGCGAATACCTTTTATCTTTTAGTAGGGTAAGAGGAACAAGGAAGTCTGTAAAATAAATGAAATGGCATCCTCAAGGAATCTAGAAATTGATGATAGGAATCTATTTTAAAAAATGGATCCTGCTTAGATATCAATTGATTGATTCAGTGTTCTCAATTTCTTAATTTTTAATTTCAGGAGGTCCAGTTGACAGAACTTGTGTTACTGCAAGTAGCAGCAACTCTTTTTGTGATGTTTTCTGGTCATATACCTTTCCTGTTATTTGGAGCACGGCTGGAAAATACGTGATGTGGCAATTTCTATTTCTATAATACACCGCTGTAGAAGGAACTGCATAGCACCGAAACATGTTTACCTCAATGGCTCACTTAAGCTGCATTGGAATAATAATAAGACATCCAGCAGATATTTCTGGGACCAAGCCTGTCTTGGTATATTTTGCAACTAGTTGGAATGGTAAGAGAGAAAGGAACATAAACGTTTCCCCCTAATCTGGGAAAAAGTCTGTAATGATAGGAATTATAACACAATATTAACAGGTTTGAGAAAGCTGCTATAAACCAACAGGAGTTCTAATGTCTGGCTTATCTAGATAGTCAGAGAGGATCAAAATAATGTGTGTGAATGCGTGTCTCTAGTCTTTCTTATTTTGTGAAGATCCAAAGTTGTGTAGGAGCTCTGCAATAAGTGATTCGTTCATGTTGTGTAAGTATTTCTTTGTCTGTTTGGCAATGATTTGCAAAACTCTTACCTACAATTTAAGAAAGCCAGTTTGGTATAGTAGTTAGGGCATCGGGTTAGAAGTCAGGAACCTGTGAGGTCTAGTCCTGCCTTAGGCACAAAGCCATTTGGGTCACCCAGGAAGGGAACAATGGCAAATGTCTTCGGAAACACCTTGCCAAGAAAAGTGGAAGGACCTGTCCTGGCAGTCTCTGAGAATCGGACATGACTGAATACAAGGGGAGGAAAAAACCCTACAGTTTAAGGAACTGTAGTTGAAGGAACTACAGAAGGAGTATCATAGGGATATTGTTATTAACAAGAATCAAGATACCGATTATATTCTGGAATGTACCCCTGATAAATCATTTCAGCAAAGCTAGTTAAGATGTCTTTATCTCTTCTGGTTCTATTGAAATTAAAGTCAATGGAAAGAAAAAATAGAATATATATGCATACAGGTAGTCCTCTACTTACAACCATTCATTTAGTGACTGTTTGAAGTTACAATGGCGGTGAAAAAAGGCACTTCTGACCATTTTCACACTTATGACTGGAGCAGCATCCACATGATAACGTGATCAAAATTCAGATGCTTGACAACTGGAATGTATTTATGACAGTTGCAGTATGCCAGGTTCATGTGATCACATTTTGCAACCCTGTAACAAGCAAAGTCAATGGGGAAGCCAGATTCACTTAACAACTGTGTTAATAACAACTGTAGTGATTTACTTAACAACTATGGCAGGAAAGGTCAGAACACCGGGCAAAATTCACTTAACTATTTTGCTTAGCAAGAGAGGAAAATGGAAATTTTGAGCTCAATTGTGGTCGTAAGTCAAGGACTACCTATATAATTGCATACCTAGGGGCACACACAGTGGTGAAATCTGAAATTTGTAACTACCGGTTCTTGGTGTGGCTTGGTGGTGGTGGGTAATGTGACTGGGTGGGCATGGCCATTTTTTTTTTTTTATATTTAAAACCATTTTTTCTACAACCTCTTTGGCGAAGAGGTTGTAAAAAATGCTTTCAAAAGGCTCAGACGATCCCAGCTGAGTTGCCTGATCAGCAGAGGCTTTTTTTCTTTTAAAAGCGTCTGCCGATCAGGCAACTCATCTTGGATCATCAGAGGCTTTTAAAAGAAAAAAAGCCTCTGCCGATTAGGCAACTCATCTTGGATCATCAGAGGCTTTAAAAAAAAAAAAAGCCTCTGCGGATTAGGCAACTCAGCTTGGATCATCAGAGGCTTTTAAAAGAAAAAAAGCCTCTGCTGATTAGGCAACTCAGCTTGGATCGTCAGAGGCTTTTAAAAGCATTTGACGATCCCAGCTGATCCTGCATGATCATCAGAGGCTTTTTTTTTTTACTTTTAAAAGCACTTTTTCGGCCAAAGAGGTTGTAGAAAAAATGCTTTCAAATTTTTTTTAAAAAGCCTCTGATGATTGTGCGACTCAGCTGGGCATTGGGGGGGGGCAGGGATTTTTGCTACCGGTTCTCCGAACCATCACTACCAGATTGGGTGATCCAGTCCGAACCGGGAGCATTTTACCCCTGGGCACACATCCCAGAATGTTGGCCACCCATCTTTTTCTACTTTCTTCATAACAAATCTTGCTGCACAACAAAGCAGCTACTGTTTCAAATACACAGAATGCAACAACAAATGTCCCAATGTTTAAAGCAAATAATTATAGTCATCTTCATATAAAGCAGGTGAAAGACTTTTCAGAAATGTGTACTGAAGGTGTGAGGCTGCGTTCTTTGGTGTAAAAATAGTGACAAGTATAAAAAACATGTCCTCCCAGTAAAACATTTACAACACTTTTAACAGCAATAGACCACACCTATTATATTGCTTTTTGAGAAACTTTAATGTTCCAAGAAGCTTAACAGACAATATGTCAAAGGTGAGTAACTTGGGGTCCTTTGGATGTTGCTAAACCAGAAGTTTGGAAGTCTGGCAAATTAAATTATACCTAGTGATTTTAAAAATATTTTTAAAAAAATCTCAGAAGAGTTTGAAGTAGTTATAAAAGTGCAAGACAAAGTTACAGGAATGTGTTCTGACCTAGGCTTCCTTAGAAATTAAACTGCACAAACTTAGTCCCGGCAAACCTCCTTAATTCATATGGCTGTAAATTACTTTCATTTACAGTCCGCAAGGCTTGATAAACAGTCTTTCAGAGGAAGGTTATCAACACCCACCTATCTCATGTGGAATACTGCCAAAGAGTTAATTTCCAGATGCAGGGCAAGGCCAAACTTGGCACAGAGTCACAAACAGAATTTTCAAATCTTGAATCGGCCAGATGAACTAATTGCTTCCTGCAAAAGCTCATGTCCCATTGCTTCTTTTATGTCTTATGGAAGGGGCCAATCAACTCCAAGCCTTACTCCCAAGTCGACCCTATTTCTTAATTGTTCTTGTCTCCTGGCAGCTCTGAGTATGCACACACTGGGAACAGGCTTACGCTGTTCTTTTGCCTCGCTGATGTTAGACTCCGGAGACTCCAGGGGCAGCAAAGAACTACCAGATGGCCTTGGCCCCCTCTGCCTCAGCCTCAGAGCCATCGTCTGAGCCTTCCCCAGACTCCAGGACTGGCCCACATTCCTCCCCGACCTCCTCACTGTCCGAATCTGCTGCCAGCTCTGCTGGCCGCTGGCGGGCCACAACATAATGGTGGTTAACGAAGATATTGGGCATTAGTCCTTCGTTCCTGCCATAAGTGAGAACTGACTCAATATTTACAGAAAAAACTTTGGAAATTTACTATATATGTTGACAGCAGCAAGACTATTGTATGCACAAAAATTGAAGGACACTTCGATTCCTACCATGGAGGAATGGTTGCAGAAGTTGATGGAATTGGCTGGAATTGCAAAATTGATTATTTTGATCAAAGAAAAGAATATAAATACTTTTGTTTCCACATGGAGACCGCTTCTGAACTTTGTGCTTGAAGTGCAAAAGAATGAAACTTTGATCTTGGGTTTTACCAATTAGGTTGATAGATCTTTATAGAAATGGCTTATTCATATTATTATGAAAAAACAAAGTTATGTTAATGCCTTCTTTTACTGCAGCATTGAGTCAGAAGTAAAAAAAAAATCCTACCTTTCCTCACTTCTCTTCCCCCTCTTCCTCCCCATCGTTCTTCTATTTACTTTTGTATTTTGTATCTTATTTTATTTTATAACTCAATAAAAATGTTAAACTGGAATACTTACAGGAAAAACTGAATTGCTATGTCATGATTACTGCACACTAAATTCCCATGTTGTGTGGATTAGTTAGATATGCAGAAAACATTGTTCATCCAATGAATGCACATCCCACAATGTATCAGTAGCGGTACTGTAATTTGCTAACTGAATGTTATGTTTCTGGTAGCTGTAGTCACCATTTCATGCTTCCATCATGTCATTAATCTGTATATTGTTTGTGGTGTTTAAGGTAATAGTTTCTTTTCTATCTTGTTTCCCCCAAAATAAGACATCCCCTAATATGCCCAATCGGGCTTTTGAGGGCATGGCAATAAGGCAGAGCGCTTATTTCAGGGTTCAAAAAAATATAAGACGGGGTCTTATTTTCGGGAAAACAGTAATCATATCAGTTGAGAATTTGTGTTCCTTTTTAAAACCAAATCAGACACTTCCTGAGTTTGAAATAAAAACCCAGGATGCTGTTGAACCTAATGCTAAACATTTTTGCAGACTTTTTTTTCTCCTTTAACAAGGAAATAGCAGGAGGTAGATAAAAAAGAACGGAATGACTGAAGAAGTTTTACTAAGGGAAAAACCTATGTTGCTTTCTGCTTACCTCCTAAAAGTGGTGGTGAGAGAACATCACAAATCTGGGTTCACTGTCTTCGGTGCCTTTCCAACATTGGCACCCTCCAGAAGAGAGGAACTTATTCAGCTTTAGAGATGTTCAAATTGCAGCTCTCACCGGTTGTAGGAAGGAGAATTAATGGCCCAATAGAAACAGAACTGTCCAACATTTCTTTGTTCTTACTGGTTGGGGAATTCCATACATCTTAAAACTTGGCCCAAGTTTGAGAAATACTTTTTTTAAACAGTCAGATCTGTTTTCATTATTGCATATGGTCCATCAGTTAACCCCACCTCAATACTCAGTTTGCTAGCCTAAGACAACCCGAGTGCTGCCGAATGGTGGGGCGAGCTCCCGTCATTCAGTCCAGCTCCTGCTGACCTACCGTTTTCCTGAAAATAAGACCCTTATATTTTTTTGAACCCTGAAATAAGCGCTTGGCCTTATTGCCATGCGCTCAAAAGCCAGATTGGGTTTATTATCAGGGGATGTCTTATTTTGGGGGAAACAGGGTAGAAGTACATAATTTGGCCCTAGTCTCTCCCGTCTATATTGGGATTTATTATTGTGAAAGAAATTTGAACTTTCTCATAGTTTCATTAGCTACTTTCTCATTCAAATATGTATTGATTGCTTTCAAGTCCCTACTTTGCATTTCCACAAAGCATAGAAGGACTGAAATTTTTTTTTCCTGCTACAGAAATGCTTCTCTTGCTCCAGGAGATTCTCCAGCCATTCTTTGTGGTTTGTTAGTCATCAACTGAATCAGATCTCTATAGCTCTTCCTTGTTTTAAACACATGATCCATTTTTATAGAGAAGTTAACTCTTATGACCAACATTTGCTTATATGTCAACAAATCAGTGTTGGCTCTTAGTGACCACAGATACTTTAAACCTTTTCCAGTTTGATCTGTGTCCAACTTGGCCCTTCAGGTCTTCCAACAGTCTACAGTAATCTATCTTAACTAAACATTTTCATCATGATGAAAAGGGACTGTTACACAAGTTGTCACGAACATTAAATGGATAAAATAGAATAGAATAATAGAGTTGGAAGGGACCTTGGATGTTTTCTAGTCCAACCTCCTGCTTAGGCAGGAAACCCTACACCACTTCAGACAAATGGTTATCCAACAACTTCTTAAAAACTTCCAGCGTTGGAGCATTCACAACTTCTGGAGGCAAGTTGTTCCACTGATTAATTGTTCTGTCAGAAAATTTCTCCTTAGTTCTAAGTTGCTTCTCTCCTTGATTACAGCTTCCACCCATTGCTTCTTGTCCTGCCCTCAGGTGCTTTGGAGAATAGTTTGACTCCCTCTTCTTTGATGATCTCTAAGATTTTGTTTTTAAGTGAAACTGATGAAGTATGCTTTCAGAACAATTCCATCTGACAAGGACAAGCTGTTCTTAGTTGTGGGGAAAGAATTTCAATAACATTTCAAAAACCTTGAAAACAACCTGTGGCCATCTAGACCTGTTTAAAGCAATGCTAAAATGTTCTATATTTAGAGAATAAAAAGAGAAGCACTTCGTGCTACATACTTCACACTGGGTTGAGTCTCCTTTTTTTCAGACCCATATTTGATTTAAACAATGCAAAGTTAGTCGGGAAACATTTTAGGTGTTACTCTCTTCCTGTCCCTTAAAGGAATATTTATAAAGCAGAAATAATGTAACATAATGCCTTTGCTAAAGCACTCTAAATGGAATAAATCTAGACATAGTTTTTTAAAATGTATTTTCTATCAAGGCTTTGTTTTTCATAACACTGCAAATTCAACAGCTGTAAAAACTGTCACCAAAGAGGAATAAAGAGAGAAGGGACAAAATGCAACTCCAAGCACAAAAGGAAGTCCTTTCTCCGTAATCAATAATTATCCTCAACTGAGCTTATTTTTCATGAGTAAATGGAAATAGGAGATTTCATGCAGGACTTAGTCAATGGGAGGCATCTGCTTCCTCCCCCCCCCCTCCAATTCACTTAAGTCCTCCTCTCTGCATGAAATCTCCTTTCTTTCCACACTCTACCTTTTTTTATTGCCAATGTGCGTCCTGGAATCCATGTTCACCTTTAATCTGCATCAAATTCCCACACGAAGCAGATCAAGCAGAAAATTGTAATTAAACTTGTTTGAATTTAACCTGCATAACTACTTCGCAATGTTATTTGAACTTGAACTTCTTGATCCATCATAACATTTCCCTCACATTGTTAAACCTCAACATAAAAGACTTTAGTATACTAAGATAAATATACTGTCAAATGACAAGAGTCATATGATGAGTTATCTGTTTAACAAGGGCTTGCAAAATGAAAACCTGAATTGCAAGTACTATACATCTCTTAAAGCCTTATCCAGTTTACATTCAGTAACATATTTAACAAACATGCTATATTCCACTTAATGAAAGATCACAAAAGCAATGGAATGTTCTAAAATCAAGGCAGCTATGAGTCTTTTGCCTATAATAATGATTTTAATTGTACTAGTAGGTTTAATGATTGATATTCTCAAACAGAGTTCTTGATAAATGTTCCTTTAAGTTAGTGTCAATTCTTAGCAACCACAGAAATAAGTTTTTTTCCCCAACCCGATTCTTCCAATTTTTCAGCAGTGCACTCATCACTCCTTAGTCTACCTTGCTAGTCATCATTTTCTCTTCCCTTTCATCTTGATCACTAGAGCCATCATTACAGACTCGATCCTTTAATTACTTCCATTAAAAGCCTAATCTCTAAAAGAAAGTTTAAAATCCCTTTCTTCAAACTCTATTGTAATTCTAATTTAGTATATTTAATTCAAATTGCTTTTGTTAAGACATATAAGGTGATTTAAAATGAACTCTAATCAGATTTCTGCTTAAGCATGAAACCTCTTACTTCAGTATCTGATCTTATATACATACCGTAGCTGCGTCTCTTAAATGCAAAATTTTAAGGTAGCAACTGTTGTTCCCAAATGATTTTTTAAAAGAAAGAATCTAAAAATATTTTCTTGATAAAATGAATCCAGCATGCTGGCTGGGGAATTCAGGAAATTGAAACCCACTCATTTTAAAGTTGTCAAGTTTGAAAAATACTGATTTACACAATCAGAATATATATATATATATATCTTTTAAAGATTAATGAAAATTTTCACAAAAGCACTATATACTGTCTTTATAACATGCAATATAACCTTCTCTCTAAACAGGAGTTGGCAGCTAATCACCTTCGTACTGGAGGCAGTCTTAATAACTTGTATTTGTCTCCCTAACATTATGAAGTTGAAATGCAGAGATACGGGAGCAAAATGGGCTTTTATTTCAAACGTTTGATGTTGTTTTTGGTGTTTGAAGAGATGTTTCGGAGTTAGAATGGTAGACATTTCTCATTCCCACTGTAAGTCGTCTCTTTCACACCCAAAATGGATTAAATTTCAGGCCATTTTTCATGGTTGTTTTTTTTTAAATCACCTGCTGTACAGACTAACTTTATCTTTTTGAATCTGGAATAAAATCCACTAATTCTTCACCTTCAACATGAATACAGAAGAAGACAATTGAAATAGTTAAATACTGAAACTGGAATGGCCTTTGTCCAAATGGCAAGTTCACAAGTCTTCTTTTTCTGGTCCTAGAAGATGAACATTATTACTGGACAAAGTCTACCATTAAAAATAAACGACTGTATTATGGAAGGTGGTCACTTACCCCTGGGCTGCCCAAATGTATGCTAAAACTTTGAAACGGAATACAGAGAAATAAATATTTAGGCAATTCACATGGCCTCAAAAGTCCCCTGAGATTAACAGGAATATGTGAATGTCCCTTGGAATCGAAAGTAAGAAATACTTGTTGAAATCCACCTTTTTTTCTTTTTTGAATCGAAAGTAAGAAATACTTGCTGAAATCCACCTTTTTTTCTTTTTACAAAGTACCAGCAACCATTTTTCATTATCATTAACTCTGGAACTATTCACAGTAGACCACAGCCAGCACAATGGAGTAAGCTGAATGTGGAACAGCACATCATTACTTTTCAATCATTCCTGATTTAGGAACAGGGGAGAGAGAGAGAGAGAGAGTTATTTTTCATGAATAGAGTGTCAGTTTGTTTCAAGCTTTGGAAATATCCGGTATGCCTTTCTTTCTTTCAGGCTTCAGGTTTGATGCCACCATTAAAAATTGCAAATATACATTTAAGGACTTTTTTTAAACACTGCAGTATCAGCAGTGCACCAGTCTTCACAGCAAAAGCAAAAATATTACCATTTGCCAAAAATATGCACACGCCGAAACATTGATCTTCTTTTTTTTTAACGATGTCTCTTTATAACAATTTAATGCTAGTACCATTTTTCTTGATACTGCACACTTTGGCAAACTCACAATTCTGAAGGGAATATTTATAATGGTTTTTCAGTTTGGTGTACAAAGAAACTGTTTTCCCCGAGTACGTGAAAGGCAGGAGCTTCTCGTTGAGAAGAATCTGAACCTTATACTCGTCTTTAGGAGACCTAGCTTGATCACAATGATAAAGCACAAACAACAAGTTGGCAGCATAAGGGACGATACGACCACTACGGAACTTGCGTTTCGACTGACTGCGATAGTTTCTGGCATTAAGAGGCACTTTGTCTTTAAAATAGCCCATGAGTGAGAGAAGTGGCTGAAGAGTCTCTGCATGTCCAAATTGGATGATCACCGGCGAAGAAATAGGTTTTGACCTGGAAAGTTAAAAAGTCAAGAAAGAAATGATTACTCAAATTTATCCAAGTTCAGATGAATAGGAAACTACTGTTTTGTTACTACGGTAGGTGCTGTAGTCAAATCTGCTATGTAGTAGAAAACTAGATTTAATTGTAGTGATTTGAAGCTAAGAGGATCAATTCAGTTGGAAAAAGTCATGCTTTGATCAAATAACACATTCAAATAATGGCCAGTTCCTCAAAATAGGACTCATTTTTAAAACCCTACTCCAAGTACCTAAAAAAAAAAAAAAAAAAAAAAAGACAGAGTCTCTGGCAGATTATAGAGGCCAGTTCCCTGACATGTTTGCAACTAACCTGATTAGGCTAGGCCGAAAGGGAGTGACTGGCCCAAGTCACCCATCCTGCTTTCATGTCTAAAGGAAGCCTAGAATTCAGTATCCTGTTTTTTTTGCCCAGCATCTTAACCAATACACCAAACTGAGACTCTACGTATTTATGTAATCTAAACGATGGTCCTTTTATGACTTGTGGACTTCAACTCCCGGAATTCCTGAGCCAGCCTGGCTCAGGAATTCTGGGAGTTGAAGTCCACAAGTCATAAAGGGGCTGTTGTACCCCACCTCTGCTCTAAAGAGTTGATTTTTTTTCTGCAGATAAGCTTGTCCTTACTTTAAGAAATGCCTAAAGCATATTTTTTCATTCATTTATTTATTTATAGGATTTATGTGGCTGCCTATCTCATACAATTACTAGGCTGCTCACTGCAAACCATAAAAACAAAGGTACCCTCCCTGATAGGGTATCTTAAGATATTCTTGTCTATGACTTCCTTTTGCGTATTTCTAATTTCCCTTGTTCCATTAAATTACTGCACCCAGTCTCCCTTGCTTCACCGCAAAAGGCCTCTTTGAATATGCACATGAGAGCAAACATAGTTTTCCTTTAAATGCTTTTCAATATGCACTTTTTCTAGGGGTCTGCCACATTTAGTTAAGCTGAAAATGCATTTGCTAGCCCTTTTGTTAGATTATAAATAAGATATTCATGCAAACTTTGGAATTTTGTGAATCACTAAGATAAGAGTGCAGTACAAAGCAGATGATGCAAAGCCTGAATACCGTAAAGAATTACAGAGATAGTACAGTATAAAATACTGTAGGTACATAAATTCCAATCTGTAGTTCATTGCTATAAAAACCTATCGGCTGAGCCCATTTCTACATTCTGGGAGGGTTTCTAAGTATATGGATAAGCCACATCTAAAGTGATTTTTTAAAAACAGCCTAATGTGATATGTGCACTAGGAGTTCGTTTAAAGTTCTGAATACACTAACAATATGGATTAGTGCAGTGATTACTGAGATCTGGCGTTGATTACAACTCAGAAACCAGCCTTAATCCTTCCTATCCTAGTACTCTTTAAATGTGGTAGACTATGGCTCTCTCTATCCAACCAAGCAGTCAAAGCCCATACAGACTGCAAGATGATGGGATCTGAAGGGTAGGGAAGTCTGGCTAGATACGTTATCAAGACTAGAAGTCGTAGCTTACTGTTCCGGCACAAACCAGATGTTAACCCAGGAAGCCCTTGTTTTTGGACCCTGTGTTATTTGAGATTGATACGATCAATTATCCAATTCAGATGATAAATTCAAACAAATTACTTCTGGTCTGTGGAGTCCTTGATGCTCTGACCTTGATTGTTTGCTTAGAGTTGTTTCATTTCTGTCTAGGTAACATCCTCAGTGCTAGTAATCAAACCCCACAGTCAGTCAATGTTACCAAGTTGAGTAAGGAAACATCTGCAAGCAAATGTCTATGGAGATTCTCAGTCATCCAGGTCTTGGTTGTCCCAAAGGTGTTTTTTTTTTCTTCAAGAGGTAAATGGACCTTCTGGTTGCCATCGATCTCAAAATTGAACAGCCCTCTCTCAACAGAGGGGGAGGGATACGACATCATCTATCTCCAGTCGACAACACAGTCCTTTCAAGGTTTCCAAGAAGGTTCCACACCCATTTGCACTACTCAGGTGACCCTGAGGACACAGATAAACTTCCAAGTGGCCTCAATGACTCTCTAAAAGAATGCAAATGACCAGCTGTCTGCAAGGAGTATAAATCCTTCCATTCCCCACCATCAGACAAACTGGAGAAGCTTTTTGGATGAAAAGTGAAAAATCTTCAAAGAAAAATCAGAAAGTCCAGTTGACTCGGGGGGGGGGGGGGGAAAGCATCTTTGGAATCTGTAAGCAAACAACCAGGCTTAGAGAGCACTAAGGACTCCATAGTTCAACCCAATACTACATATATTCTATTTCTGGTTTGTTTAGCTGCTCATATTACTGGAAAAATTCAAATGGGAGCAAAGAGGGTGTTTTCACAAGCCACAACATCCTGCAGATTTGCCATTCTGAGCTAACAAGTCCATAGTTTAAAATTATCGAAGAAATGCTTTTAGTTATATGGGCTGGTCTATAATATCATGTAAAAGGCAACAAAGTTCAGTTAATTGTTTGATTGCCATATTTGTAATATATTGCTTTACTATCTCATTACACAGCATTACTGATAAACTTAATTTAATATAAAATCAAGCTAGCACAATTAGGCAAGAGATATATTTCTGAAAGGGAAGGAAGGGTGAGAAACTTACCATGATTGCACTAAGCCATAATGAAGTTTATTAGTTTTGGCTTAACATGCTATATGAATGAGCGAACTGTACTTTATGTAATAATCAATGACTAAACAAATATACTATGGCACAATTTTGTACTCAGCAAAATTCATTTACAAGTTTTTGTAATTCAACCAATATTAAGAGTCTTTAATCAGGATGCATTTAGTCCTGGCTTATTTCCTTCACTGAAAACATAGTTCCTCACAACTCTAATATTAAATTCTCATAATACCCATGACTATTGGGATTTGGGATTTACTAAAATATTAACCAGTTCTATGCAGCAGAGATACAATTAAGTAGTTTCCTAAAGTAATGTAAATGAGCACCAATTCTTGAACAAATGATCAGAAACAGATACAAGTTACCCTAGAAAGACAGATTTCTATAATAGCTTTCTGTGTACTAAGCTTTCAATACAAATACATTTATGTTCTTTTTATTTTATTAAGGCAAAGGGTTATAATCCTGTTTGCATCATAACATCACAAAGGTCCCACCCACATAGGTCAACAAACCTTGACTGCTATTCAAAAAAGAAAAGCAACTCTTGACAAGAATTTTCCCTGGAAAATTCTTGTATAACAGAACACATTCACTTGCCAAAAGCACATTAAGCAAAAGTATCTCGTCAATCAACACAAAGTTTTAACTTTAACTCCAACCTTTTCTTTTACCTGCACTTAAGGACAACTGGCAACTCATATGGGTAGAAGGAGTTGCTTCCAGAAAACCAGAGTCTGAACTCGACGGAAAGAAAATTGAAAGAAAATTGGATAGAAATATCCGATTTGAGCTAACAAACTGATGTTTTTCTGATGATTAAGTTGGACCTCTTTGGTGTGTGAAACCTGCAGAGCTGCCAGGAATAAGAATTGTCTAGAACTGTTTTTTGTTCTACTTTATCTTTTTTTTTTAAGGCAATTTGCCATTTTGATATTTTTAGATTACTCTATGTACGTAAATGGTAACTGGTCAACAAGAATGCGTTTTCCTTCAAAATTATAAATCAGAAGATCATAAACTTCCCCAATCTGCTGCCAAAGACTTGGGTGTAATCTCTAGAAGCCCTCCAATAGATACTATTGAACTGTAAGTTTTAATGTGACTAATAATAAAAAATAATTATTCCTTATTTCCTTACAAATATTGTTATCTTCCTTTGGCTCCAATGGAATGCAGAAAATATATCTATAATAAAATATTATTTATTGTTTGTATCCTGCCTTTTATTTTTTTTTTAACAAATAATCCACTGCAGTGAACATATTCAACACATTCCTCCTATTTTTCCCACAAGAACCCTGTGAGGTAGGTGTGTTGGGCTGAGAGTGTGTTACTAATTCAAGGTGACTCAGTTAGCTTTCAGGTGACATTAAAACTCACTGTCTCTTAGCTTTCTAGCCTTAACCACTTTATTAACCACTATATTAAATTCAATTTAATAAACCACTATATTAAATTCATAGCAACTAAATTAAATTCAATTTAATAAACTAAATTAAATCCTATCTTCTGTTTTAAATATGGCCCTCATGAAAAAAACTTGCATGAAATCAAAAGCACAAACGGGATGTTACTGAAGGCCATTGTTCTGTTGTCATTATTAATATTTTGGGACAGTAGATATATTTTCTGCATTCCATTGTAGAAAGGCCCCCTCTCATTTAGAAACTGGAGGAAATAAAGAGAGAAAATTCCCCTTCCCCAGGATTAACATTTTAAGTGAAAGGCTCCAGTGTTTCCTTTTAACCAAGTTTACCAAGCTCAGGTGGTTTTGGAGCTTAAAAATAAAGCATCTATATTTCAAGAAAAGCAATAAAGGAAACATGTAAGATACAGGTTAAGTATGTAGTAAGATTGAATCTGCATATGAAAGCCAGAAATCATTAACCTGTTAACAGGATGAGCAAAGAAATAAAGAATTACAATGGCAAATGGGAGCGAAGGCTATTGAAGTGTCTACTCAAACTTTCCCCATCAAATTTATCTTAACTAGTTCTAATTCCAATAAAGGAGACTATTTGTGGCTCAGGGTTGAACTGAGGTGTCCTTGGAGCTCCCTGAGCGTGGTTGTTGGTTTTTTTGCAGACATTTCATTACCCAAACTAGGTAACACCATCAGTGCTAGACATTGTTGGTTCTAGTTATCCCAAGACTTTCTGGACCCATCCTGAATCTCAGATATAATGGGCAAAAATACGCTCCCACATTCTTTTGCTGTGTTTAGGATTTTCCAGCTCAACCATCTAATTGGAGACAACAAAACTTCTAACTTCTCTGCATTAGTCTCATCCTCATCTCTTGTTGGAAAAGGATCATGGTTTTAATAGTAG